GTGAAAAATATCATAAGTCAAAAATACACTCAGCCAGGCCAAGACTACTGGCTTGTGCCTGTAGTCCCAGCCACTTGTGAGGCTGAGACGGGGGATCACTGAAGCCCCGGAGTTCGAGGCTGCAGTGAGCTATGATTGTGCCACTGCACTCCAGCCTGGATGACAGAGCAAGGCCCTGTCTCTAAGAAAAAATAAAATAAAATACAAATGTATTTAATGCTGGTACCACAGCAGACAGTCCCTGACTTGCAATGGTTCGATGTTTGATTTTTTGACTTTCTGACGGCACAAGAACAGCAACACGCGTTCGGTAGAAACCACAACTCCTCATAGGCACATGGGCTCCTCGGCTTAAGATGGGGGTTACCTCCCGATACGCCCACTGTGAAGTCGGCAAATCTTAAGTGGTACCAAAATCAGGGACTGTCTGTACACAAACAGCAAGGTCATATACTCCACCTGTACATCGTAATACAGACGTGCACGCACACCAGGGTCACAGGGACAGGACAGTTTGAGTCCTTGACAGCCCCACTTCCCTTTCGCTGGGTCACCATGGTCTCAGTGTGCCTGTTTGCCTGCTGTGACCTCTGTGGGAGAGCAGTCACCTGCGTTCCTGGGGCAGAGAGCGGCAGCAGCGTGCGTGCACCTCCCTCCCGTTTCCTCAGACTCTTTCTCCCGGGTCCTGAGTGGTGCTCTTTTCTCCCAACCTCCCGCCCCTCCCCAGGCCGATATTCTCCAACAGCCGCCCTCGGGCTTTTCCTCAACATTTGTGTTTCTTCTCACTCCCTTTCCTCCTCTCTTTGCCCCCAGGCCTTTGCTCCCTGTCTCCCTCCAGCTCTGTTCTCCCTCCGGCCCAGGCCCCCCACCGTGCGACCCAGCCGGTCGCGGCCACCGTGCGACCCAGCCGGTCGCGGGAACGCTACATGCGGGAAGCTACTTGCACAGGCCAGCGTCTGCCGCCACCACCGCCACTCGGCTCCTGTTAGTAAAAATCCGCCTGCTCCTTTATTTATTCAGAAGAGCAGTCCCACCCCCAACTCAAACTCAGCACACGCACTTCAGCAACAATGGCTCCAGACCCTCCTGCCGCCGGGCCCAGGAGAGAGTTTCCAGGCGGACGCACAAAGTCCGAGTGGGGCCGCGGCTCAGGCACTGCGGTGAAGGGGACGGTGGGGAGTCCCAGCCCCATCTTGCAGCTGCGGACACTAAGGCACACACAGAGGGGCTGGCTTGTGTCCCACCGGCCCAGGACCAGACCTCAGGGCCCCAGGAGGGTCCGCAGGCAGCTAGGAGCCCGCCAAGTGCTGGTGGAAGTAGAGGCCGAAGAGGCTGGAGAGAAGCTGGCAGGCGGCCGTCCACCAGACGAGGTAGGCCAGGACACCACGGAGGAACAGAGGCGTGAGCAAGCCGCCCAGGGCCCCAGCGATGCGGGCCGCCGTCTGCTGGGCTTCATCCTCCCCGGGGCCGACCGGGACAGCGCTGGCTGAGGACGGACCGGGGGACAGTGGAGTTGCAGGGCCCAGGCCCCAGGAGTAGCCACCTGGGATAAGAGGGGGATGGAGGGAGGTGGGGGTGGAGGCACAGGAAGGGTCGGCCTCCCCGCCCCCACCTCTGCCTCCTGCCCAGGCCCCGCCCCTACCAGGCTCCTCCTCCTGCTCAGGCCCTGCCCAGCCCAGGCCCCGCCCCTACCAGGCCCCTCCTCCTGCCCAGGCCCCGCCCCTACTCCGGACCCCTCCTCCCGCCCGGCCCCGCCCCCTCCTGCTCCGCTGTGCGGCTCCAGGCGCCGCCCCCACTCTATGTGCGGGCCCTCCTTTCCCCTCCCTTCCCCTTCTTCCCCTTGCGGCTTCTCACCCAGCGTCTTGAGCAGCAGTGTGCAGTTGAGGGTGAGGATGAGCGGTGTGAGGTACTGCAAGCTTACCACCGTCACGTAACAGTAGACCCGGACCACCTGGTGGGCAAGCAGCAGTGGTGGCTGCGGAGGGGGTCTTCTGGGTTCAGGGTTCACTCATGCCTGAGCGACCCGGAGACCTACCCTGAGCTCCGGATTCCCTCCCTGCCCGGCGTCCATACCCGCCGCTGGATCTCGCGGGCCTCAATGCGGCCAGCCTCCCTCCGCAGCTGCTCCACGCGGGCCTTGGCCAGGCACAGGTAGGCCTGCAGGTGGGGCCGGGTCACCGCCAGCCGCAGCAGGCACAGGGCCACCAGCACCCAGAGGCGCATCGAGTCGAAGGCCGAGTCTGACAGCCTGCGCCGAGGGGCGTGGGGGCAAGAGGGCTAGCAAGGCTGTCCCTTCACCCCCTAGGTTCTGTCCCCCACCCTCCAAGATCTTCCCCCGGCTCCTCCCTGAGCCTCAGAGACTGGAGTACAGAGAGGGGCCCCCAGCCCCACCCGGCACGCACAGGGAGAAGGGTGTTCCTCCAACGGGCGCCTGTTGCAGGAAGTCCCGTGCAATGGGCTTTGTCCAGAGCCACAGGATGAACAGGGGTGACAGGAAGCTGGTGTGCAGGAGGAACCTGGGGGGTGAGGGCAGGAAGGGGTGAGGCACCCCACCACTCCCCTATCCTCCCCCCAGTCCCCCAATCCCCCCACCCACCAGGCGACCCACGTAACTGCAGCATGGGCCGGTCCTCTGACATGGTCAACGCATCGCGGTGGGTCTGGGCCAGCCGCAGGCCCGGGAAGGTGAGGAAGGCGCCCAGCATGGAGCCCACCACCGCCAGCCCCACGCGGATGGCCAGCTTGGCCAGAGGCAGCCTGGGGAGAATAGCAGGTCAAAGGGCCCCACAGCCAGTCAGAAGGCTGCCTGTGGGACCCTAGGAGACTCCCAGCCTTCCCCTGTCCCCATTCCCCAATACCAGAACTCACGCCCAGTCCCAGCCCTGCTTCTTCAGAAATGGCTCCAAGTTCTGGGTCATGCTTGCCAAGCCTGGGGAAGATAAGGAGAGGATGGAGTAGAGTAGATTCCCAGGGTCTCCAAGCCCATTCTGCCCCCCTCCCAGGTATCCTTTTGCTCCCCAAGTAGGAATGCACTAGTAGTGGCCAGGCCCTGTATCAAGCACTAGAACAACTTTGTGCTTTAGTTATTTAGGGCTGTCTTCAAGAAACAGAAGAATGCACCAAGCAGACACCCCTGACTGGGCTGGAGACATGGGGTGGGGCTGCTGAGTGTGAGTTTCCTAGATTATTCCAGGAATCTGGAGGGGGATGAAGGACTCCTGCAAAGTCCTCCTTGAAGAAAGAATTCTCAATTCAGGCCCCAAGATTTTCCAGAGATTAAAAGCAAATTAATACGAGCTCACAACCAAAATTATCAAACACACAAGGAAACAAATCACCATAAAGGAGAGTTGGCAGAAAAATAATAAAGTTTAGGCCTCAAGGACTTAAGAAATTGGCACTGTCAATTATGTGTTAAATGGCCGGGCGCAGTGGCTCACGCCTGTAATCCTAGCACTCTGGGAGGCCGAGGCGGGCGGATTGTTTGAGCTCAGGAGTTC